AGACGAACACGCACACATACCCCTTTGAGATGCGACATGCGCAACCTGTGAAACTTTTAACGTCGAAGGGGCCGGCGAAGTCGACTCCGGTGTATGTGAACGGCCTGGAGAATGTGACTCGTGAGGCAGGAAGGTCGCCCATTAGTTGGGTTTGGAGTCGCTTACGATGGAGGACGCAAACCTTACAAGAATTGATCACTGCCCTCACCACGTGACGTAGTCGAGGGATCCAGTATGTTGCCCGGATAAGGCGGATGACCAGCTGGTTCCACCATATAGCGATATATGATGGGTGAATCGAACCAGCAGGCGAACCAGGAGACATGAGGGTGGCAACAAGATTGGATGCCGTTCGTTGTAGGACATGGACGCCGAGGCTTGGACTCGGCCACATGCCCGCATGACTCCATCCTGGTCAAGGAACGGATTAAGATTCTGAAGAGAACTCGTAGTAGGCAGTGGCTGCTTGTTTAGCAGGCACCGATGCCCCCCAGCATAATGGAAGCGTTGGGTTGTCAGTGTGACCGCCTGGAAAGCGGCAGCGACCACCTCTCCGTTCAGCTCTTCGGAGACATGGGTTGTCTGCCCTTTAGCTCACTGGGTGAACCGCCGAACGTAGGCGATCACGCGAAGAGCGCTCCCGAGTTCGGAGAAACGGCTGAGGATATCGGAGGCGCTGCTGGTGGCATGGTGCACCTTGACGACTCGCTTCCTCAGGTCAGTCTCAAGGACTGAGTCCCGCGGACATGGCCACTCCGATTTTGGACTACGCAACCAAGCAGGGCCATGCCACCACATATCACTTCCGACCAGTTCAGTGGGTCCTAGCCCTCGACTGGCCAGGTCGGCCGAATTGTCCTCGGATCGGACGAGGCTCCATCGCTCGCTGGGCCAACATCGAGTGATTTTGGCTACTCGATTGCCCACGAAAGTGGTCCAATCGCATGCAGGTCTGTTCAGCCAGGCCAACACAATCGTGGAATCGGTCCAGAAGGATACTTGGCTGGTGTCCAGTGGCAGTTGAGGAAGGATGGCCTCGGAAAGCTCTGTCAGAAGGACGGCTCCGCACAGTTCGAGTCGAGGCAAGGAAACCGTTTTCACGGGGGCCACGCGGGTTTTAGCTGTGAGAAGGGCACAGACAATGCCCTGCGGTCGCTCAACTCGGATGTAAATCGCTGCCCCTTTTTCTTCTCTATTATTATCCTGTAAATTTCTGTTATTGTTGAATGCAGTCTTTCGACTGTTGCATTACTCGAGGACTGTTGAAAGGATGTTGTGTGCAATTCTATCTCGAATTGCTTACAAAAATCCTTAAACAGATTGGAAGAAAATTCTACCCCTTGATCGCAAACTATTTTACTAGGGATCCCAAAAAGCGCCATTAAGGCCCTCAATGATGTGACCACATTTATGCTATCCCTAGCTGGAATTGTGTATCCCCACGCATACCTGGAGAATTTATCGATGACCGTTAAGACATACTTTTTGTTTACAAAGTATAAATCTATATGCACTATTTGCATTGGTTTGGCCGGGGTTTCTGTTGCACTATATTTTATTTTCTGAGGTTTTCTATCGTATTTCATTTTCTGACATCTGTCGCAGTTGTTAATCGTCTGTGCTATTATTGGCTTCATATGTGGGAAGTATAAGATTCTTTTGAGGTGGGTTAGTGTTTCCTCTATTCCCTATGATTATTTCTTTCATGGTGCTCTTCTTACTTACTTACTTCTGGTAGTATAACTATAACCAGCTCGTCTGGTATAAAAATTGCCACCGTTATATTGGGCTTCAGAATCTCTTTAAGCTTGCGTCCTATTGTCTCTTCTTCAAAGTTATCCTCGGTCCATGTTGTCCTAATCTTGTTCCTACAGTGGACTTCCTTCATTATTCTAGCTGAGGCTCCCTTTTTTAATACTATTTAAATCTTATAATCATTAAATGGTTTCTCCGATATAGGAAATCCGAGGTGTTAGTCTTCGTCTGCAGAATGTATGGTTTCCCCGTTAGTCGCTACTTCTGACATGTTTTCCAGCATGTTAATCTCTGGCTGTATCCTACATAAGGCGTCTGCCACTACATTGAGGGATCCTTTCTTGTATAAGATTTCATAATCGTATTCTAGCAATTGCAGTTTCCACTTAACCAACTTTGAATCTGGTTCTTTTATACTCATTAACCAAGTCAGCGGTCTGTGATGCGTGACTATTTTAAATCTCTGTCCGAATAGATAGTGTCTGAAGTGCTTTATCGTTGCGTAGTTTATTTCCGCGTCTGACAATGGGTTACTAGCATATGCCAACGGTCTGTCCGCTCCCAAGTGTCCTTGGGACAGGACAGCTCCTACGGCATAATTGCTAGCATCTGCTGCAAAATGGGGTCGTTACACAGCAATGTCTTACATGTTTCGAATGTTTCTGTGAATTCTGAGTCAATTTGTTCTGGTTTTTTCCCTTTAAGCTGCCTAATTAGCGGTTTTGTTATGGCCGCGAAATCCTTTACAAACTTCCTGTAATATCCTAAAAGTCCCAAGAACGATTTTATTTGTTTCCTTGTCTTTGGGATTGGAAACTTCTTTATTGCTTCAATCTTCTTGGGATTCGGTTTAACTCCCTCTAAGGTTACTACATGACCTAAGTATTCTACCTCCATCCTCAAAAATTCTGTCTTGTCTAATTGCAGTTCGAAGTTAGCGTTCTCTAATTTTGCGAACACCCTGTTCAAGTCGCTCAAGTCGCTCATGTACACCATGATGTCATCCATATATATAAGGCAAAATTTCCCCAACAAGTCCCCGAAAAGGTTATTCATTAATCTTTGGAACGTCGCTGGGGCATTACTTAGCCCGAAAGGCATCCTCACATATTCAAAGTGACCTCCTTCCGCAGGAAGGAAAGGAAAAGAAAGCTTTTAGTGCTATGTCCCCGTACCACTTGGTTCTTTCCTTCCTTAGCAACGAGTTTGGTTCTTTCACCTTACCCAACCTGATGAGGGCCTTTCTTAAGTCCAATACCTTTTGATATAGTGGCTCTAAATTCAACTTTTTCTCCTTCATGTGTGTAAGCTCCATGATTAAATCCTGCTCAGATCTTTTATCCCTAAAATGAGACACCAATGCCTTCTTAATGTTGTCCCAATTCAAATCTACCTCATTCAGCTCCAATGCCCCATCAGCCGCTCCTATTACCTTGCTTCTTATAGCCCTAAGGGCTATAACCCCTACCGATGACCTTTCCTCTCCTTTTATAAGGCCTAATATCTGCTCTACCGCTGATATAAATCCATCTAACTTCTCTACACCTCCTTCATACTTTGGTATAATCTCTACTAATTCTATGACTCGAATCGCTTCGAGTAATTTTGTGTTGCTAGGTTGGGTCATTTCTAACTGTTCCTGGTTTTCGTTACTAGCTGCTAAAGCCTCCGTGTCTAACGGAATAACCCTTTGGCTACTGCTTTCCTTTGACATGTAGTCTGTTTCGATTACTTTTTCTTATTTTACGTGTAATTATAGTGTTTGTGTGTATGGTGATTTTTGTAAGGTGTGTATCGTATCTTAATTATAATGTGTGCTTGTGTAATTCTATAATGTGTGTTACTTAAGTACTTATACTAGATCGAGTTTGCCCTTGTGTGTCCTTGTGTTCGTGAAATGGAGTCTGCAATTGATTAAAATGAGTAACTTTTCGATCGTACTTTTCTAATAAAATGGTGTGCCGTGAAATGGTTTATTCATCGTTTATGGTTATTCAATCGCCTTATATGCGATGTTTGAGCGTAGAGGCGGTGCGAGATCCCAGGATCGTTTCCCACAAATAAATACGAGTTGCAGCGGTCCAAGTTCTTCAATATGTACAGATTTAGGGTTTTATTCGTAGGTTTAATTGTATTTAAATATGTATAGGTATCGCGCGCAAAAGCCGGCCGTTTTGCTTCGGGCTGGAATAGCGAATTAAAAAAAAATCGGTGGCACTCAAGCTGCCGAGGGCTGTTGGCGGCGAGAGCGGGAGAGTGAGCGTGAGCGTGGGCGGGAGCGCCAGCGTGGTGAGTATGCGTGCGAGAGCGCGTCGCCGGGGGGAAAAATGCTCTTAAGTACGAGGGCGAGAGCGAGGGCGACCGCTTGTGTAGCTGGAACGCTAACAGCGATGTGTGGCTGGAATGCCCACAGAGCGGTTGCCCCGCCAGCGCCGTCCTCTCTCTGAACATTCTCCCCCCCCCCTTGCAGGAGTGCAAAGATTTAAGTCTGCGTGCACGCACCAGACACGATCCATCCAAACACCGTGCTTTGAGCCACGGGAAGGCCGTCTGCGCGGGCGAGGAACCCAGGTTGGATGACCCTTGGATACAAATCTGCACCCAAGACGAGCGAGATGGTCGTCGGCTTGTGGAACTGCTCGTTGGCCAACTTCAAGTCGTCGAAGCGAGCACGGACGGTGTCGCTCAGTGGACGGATCGGCGTACGGACGCGCAGACGGGGCTCGATTTTGAGGACGGCCTCCACTTGGAACTCTCCTGTCTTCGCCCGGATCATGGCGGTGCACACCTTCTCGTCCCCGATGCAGGTGGTGGGCAACTTCAGCTCCCTAGCCACCTCGGCGTCGATGCAGCTGACCGGCGTGCAGGGATCAATCAGTGCACTCAACACCTTAGTGGCTTGCTGCACTTCGTTCTGCACACGGCCGAGACGCCATTCCTGAGCGGGGATGTTCTCCTCCTTGATCACCATGAGGTCTCCAATCTCGAGGTCTCTTGTCGGATGCTGCCATTTGTTACGCTTGTGCAACTCTCGCAGGTACTCTGTCTTCCAGCGCGAACAGAATTGCTGGTTGAGAGCCTTGAGATGTTGCCAGCGGTTTAGGATGGAGGAGGCGCTCGCTTGTATTTCTGGCTCTGCCACGGATAATAGCGGACCACCAATCAGGAAATGGCCTGGACTCAAAGCCAACGGAACCGTTGGATCCTCAGACATAGGAGAGATTGGTCGCGAGTTAAGACATGCCTCAATTTTTGAAAGTAAGGTCGCGAACTCCTTTAATGTGTATTTGGACGTACACATCGACCGTTGGAACAGAGCCTTGAAGCTCTTCACACCTGCTTCCCACAAGCCCCCCATATGTGGGGCTCCGGGAGGGATAAACCGCCTGCTGGCTGTACACCGCAGAAGTCCGAGCGCGAATGGCCTCGAGAAGATCCACAGCCAGAGAGCGGGACGCGCCGACAAAATTCCTGCCGTTGTCGGATTGAACTTCATGAGGACACCCACGTCTCGCGACGAAACGAGCGAAGGCGGCTAGGAAGGTGTCGGTGGATATATCGGACTTGGCCTCTAAGTGGATGGCCTTCGTGGAAAAGCAGACGAACACGCACACATACCCCTTTGAGATGCGACATGCGCGACCTGTGAAACTTTTAACGTCGAAGGGGCCGGCGAAGTCGACTCCGGTGTATGTGAACGGCCTGGAGAATGTGACTCGTGAGGCAGGAAGGTCGCCCATTAGTTGGGTTTGGAGTCGCTTACGATGGAGGACGCAAACCTTACAAGAATTGATCACTGCCCTCACCACGTGACGTAGTCGAGGGATCCAGTATGTTGCCCGGATAAGGCGGATGACCAGCTGGTTCCCACCATATAGCGATATATGATGGGTGAATCGAACCAGCAGGCGAACCAGGAGACATGAGGGTGGCAACAAGATTGGATGCCGTTCGTTGTAGGACATGGACGCCGAGGCTTGGACTCGGCCACATGCCCGCATGACTCCATCCTGGTCAAGGAACGGATTAAGATTCTGAAGAGAACTCGTAGTAGGCAGTGGCTGCTTGTTTAGCAGGCACCGATGCCCCCCAGCATAATGGAAGCGTTGGGTTGTCAGTGTGACCGCCTGGAAAGCGGCAGCGACCACCTCTCCGTTCAGCTCTTCGGAGACATGGGTTGTCTGCCCTTTAGCTCGCTGGGTGAACCGCCGAACGTAGGCGATCACGCGAAGAGCGCTCCCGAGTTCGGAGAAACGGCTGAGGATATCGGAGGCGCTGCTGGTGGCATGGTGCACCTTGACGACTCGCTTCCCCAGGTCAGTCTCAAGGACTGAGTCCCGCGGACATGGCCACTCCGATTTTGGACTACGCAACCAAGCAGGGCCATGCCACCACATATCACTTCCGACCAGGTCAGTGGGTCCTAGCCCTCGACTGGCCAGGTCGGCCGAATTGTCCTCGGATCGGACGAGGCTCCATCGCTCGCTGGGCCAACATCGAGTGATTTTGGCTACTCGATTGCCCACGAAAGTGGTCCAATCGCATGCAGGTCTGTTCAGCCAGGCCAACACAATCGTGGAATCGGTCCAGAAGGATACTTGGCTGGTGTCCAGTGGCAGTTGAGGAAGGATGGCCTCGGAAAGCTCTGTCAGAAGGACGGCTCCGCACAGTTCGAGTCGAGGCAAGGAAACCGTTTTCACGGGGGCCACGCGGGTTTTAGCTGTGAGAAGGGCACAGACAATGCCCTGCGGTCGCTCAACTCGGATGTAAATCGCTGCCCCATAGGCACGTTGAGACGCGTCGCAGAAGCCATGTATCTGCACCTTGGCCATTGGACATACGTGCAACCACCGCGGAATGCGGACATCCTGGATGGCCGGAAAACTATTCAGGAACGTCTCCCAGGTTTGAGATAGAGCGCTAGGGAGGACGTCATCCCACCCTAACTCTCTTAGCCAAATTTCCTGCATGAAAATTTTGGCTTGAATGACAAAGGGGGCAAGCCATCCCGCCGGATCGAACAGCTGCGCTATCTGCGATAGCACATTGCGCTTCGTACAGGACTCCCGTTGAAGTACTTCGGGAGGAGCAAAGAAGAATTCATCGGCACTGGCTTGCCATCGGATCCCCAATGTCTTACCGATGCTACTTTCTTCAAGCTCTAGGAGGTCAGCTCGAAGTAGGTGGTCAACCGGAATATCGCGCAGTACGCCCTTGTGGTTCGCTGTCCACTTTCGGAGTGGAAACCCCAGTGGAGTCGAGTGCTTTGCGTAACTCTGAAATGGCGGAGATTGCCTGTGACTGAGTGTGAGCACCAGCCAGCACGTCGTCCACGTACATGTGGACTGCGAAGGTGACAGTGGCAAGATCGTAGTCACACACGTCCCCCTTACGGTCGCGAAAGAGTATTCGCTGATAGGGCGTGTGTTGGGAAGACAATTGGATCTGGCGGTACATCTTGCTGATGTCGGCATTGAAGACATAGCGGAAGACTCGCCTCCTCAGGATTTGCATGGTCAAGTCAGACTGAAGGACTGGCCCCGAATGCAATGTGTCGTTGAGGCTTTTCCCGTTGGAAGACGGGTTGGAGGCGTTAAAGACCACGTGCAGTTTGGTTGTGGTGCTGTTTGTGGTGCTGGGGTGCTGTCATGTGGCCTAGCTCTAAATATTCCTGTGTAACGGCATCGTACTGCTCTTTTAGCGGCAAATTCCGCTGCAGACGCTGCTCGTTTTTAAGGAACTGGGCCTGTGCCGCGCACCTGGAGTGTCCTAGATCGACATTCTCTGGACACTTGAAAGGGAGAGTAACAATATACCTCCCATCGGGGGCTCGTTTAGTGGTCTTGCGGAAGTTTTCCTCGCACACAGAATCTGACTCACTCGTAGGTCTCCCCGGAAGGTCCTCCACCTCCCAGAATTTGGTGAGAAGCTTCTCGAGTCGGACGTCCGAATCTAACGAGAGCTTCGTGGTGAAGGCGGAAACCGTCCGAGTCGAGTCAGCTGATACTGGACCGGATAGGACCCATCCGAAGATGGTCTCTTGTCCTAGCAGCGAGCCGCAAATGTCAGAAGCCGCTCAACAGGATAGAAGGAAGGATGTCAGCGCCTAAAAGCACATCAATCTGCGAGCTTCGGTGGAAGGAGGGGTCCGCCAGCGGGAGGTTTGGAAGCTTGTCCAATAAGTGCTGCGGTATCGGATATGAGGGAAGGTTACCTGCTAACTGAGGCAGAACATATGCCATGGTCTCGATTTTGAGGCCCGGCCAGGAGGCGGCCCCGATCATGAAATCTGCGACTTCAGCCTGTATGGCTTCGAACGGTGGCTTAATAATGTTAAAGAGACGTTCAGTGATGAACGTCGCCTCGGAGCCTGAGTCAATCAGTGCGCGGGCACGGAAATTGGTCCCCAGGTGGCAAATATTAATGAGTGCCGTGCCCAGAAGAACGGTACTTGTGCTGGAGGCGAAATAGCTCTGTACGTTGGGCTGAGGTTCGGATGAGCTGGGGGCTTGGGCGGATGTCCATGCCGCCACGCTTGATGAAGGAGCGGCACGATGCAGAAGCGTGTGATGCCCTGGCCCCACAAGTGGAACAGTTGTGGCTGCTGGAGCAGTCGCGAAGCAGATGAACTCTTGCGAAGCAATTTAAGCACAGCTGCTTTTTCTTAATGCAGCTGGAACGTGCATCAGCGGACATGTTGAGAAAGCGGGGGCAAACTCGAATCGAGTGATTCTCTTTGGAACAGAGGTCACACGTTCGCTTCTTCGGACTCACTTGGGTATTGAAAGAGTGAACCTTGTTTGGCGTCGGACTGCCTTGCGAACGGAATGGATTGGAGTGGTTTCGAGAGGTGGATTTTGGACGCCTTTGGAGGTTGGCGGATTCGTAGCCCCTCGTGAGGTGGAAGGGTCGCTCTCAATAGCCTCGAGCGTCAGATAGCGCTGAGTGAAGAAGGAGTCGATTTCTTTCCAGAGCGGCACCTCCTTTTTGTCCGTTACGAACGCCTCCCATAACGCCCGGCTTAACTTTGGCTTAACTTTGGAAGCGCAGATGGTCACTAGGAGACTATCCCAATTGTCGGTACAGACGTTGGAGACAGCTAGTGCATTTTGAACCACCTGCATAGTACTTTGTAGATCCTTGAAAGCACGACTGCACTCGGAAGTTACGTGGGGCAAGAAGAGGAGGATGTTTATCTGGTTGGTCACTAGAAGCCGATTATTTTCATAGCGGCTGCGGAGAGCCAACCACGTGGACTCGAAACCGTCATTAGTGAGGGGGGATTTCTCTACGATGGCCTTCGGATCGCCCCGGGTCTTCTCGGTGAGGTAGTACAGCCTCTCTATCGGAGACAATCTAGGATTGTTGATCACGACCGCAGTGAACAGATCCCGGAATGTGGGCCAGCGGACGTAGTCCCCTGTGAATGCCTCAATATTGACGGGAGGCAGTCGACAGCCGCCCTGTTGGACTGGCTGTGAAGGAGCAAGAACTGTGGATGTGGCCAGTTGGTCACTGTGGCACTGCTCAAATACCCCACAGCATTCACCGTATGCATCACGGATGTCCGCTTGGATTTCTGGCTCCTCGTCAGTCATCACCGCGGAGCAGGCCTTATATTCGGCGTCGACGTCCGTCCACATGCTGAGGATTTGGCCTCGACGGACCTCGGACAAAGAGGCGAATGGGGCGGCGGTGATGCGCTCTGCCAGGTGCGATAGTCGGCCAATAGCGGCGACCAATTTGGTCCGAGCGACTGAGGTGGCGGATTGAGCCATTGTGATGAAGTGGCGAGAGCTGACGGGGCTGTTGACGAAGGAGCCTTGTTTGGTCACAGCTGGAACCTTAAGAGTGACAGGAGACGGGAACACAACCGATTTGGTCCTTGCCGCAGGGCTGCTACTGGATGCTCTCGGAGTGAGGGGTGCCTTGATTCTCTGAGTCGAAGTAGTTCCGGAGGCGGACGAGGTACGTAGCCGGTTCGAAGAGGTCACAGGCAAAAGCTCTAAAACGGAACTTGTCTTGTTTACAACCAAATACAAAATCCCGTCTCTCAACCCCCCAATACTAAACGGATGCAGACTCTCCTTCAGCGACAGTGCCAGTTACTTAGGGTTGGTAATTGACAAAAAGCTTAGCTGGAACCTGAGCTTAAAAGACAGAGTGAAGAAGGCTACAATAGCCCTCTACACTTGCAAGAAGGCCATTGGGCTAAAATGGGGCATGAACCCAAGAATAGTCCAATGGATATACCTAGCAATAGTGAGACCAATACTACTCTACGGAGTCGCAGTGTGGTGGCCTGCCCTATCGAAAAGGACCATCACTAAACAACTGGGCAAGGTGCAGCGCACTGCATCCCTATGCATCAGTGGAGCTCTGAGCACCACACCAACGGATGTGCTAAATGCTATCCTATGCCTGCAGGGCCTGGACCTTGCAGGTAAGGAGCAGGCAGAAATGGCAGCAGTCCGTCTTAGAGACTCTGACCAATGGGTGTCACATCACACCGGCCATGCGTCCATCCTAAATGGAAACAAAATCGTCCCCACAAGAACGGACTACTGCGTTCCGAGGGAGTATACAGATACCCCTTTCGTAACAATCATCCCTCACAGAACCAACTGGCTCGAGGGACCACCTGGCTCAGATGGAGCCATTCAAATCTTTACTGATAGCTCAAAGCTGGACAACAAAGTCAGAGGAGGAATCTACTAAGAACATCTGAATATAAGACACTCTTTCAGATCACTGCAGTGTCTTCCAAGCGGAAGTCATAGCGATCAGGGAAGCCTTGAGCTGCCGGAACGTGCCCCTACGGCAACTTATATAAATATCTATAGTGATAGCCAAGCTGCGATCAAATCGCTGAATGCGATAACAACAAGCTCGGCTACCGTGGCAAACTGTCGCAAATCCCTCCATGAGATGGCTTATCAGTTTTTCATCAGCCTAATATGGGTCCCGGGCCACCAGGACATTGAAGGCAACTGCATAGCGGACGAGCTGGCCAGAGCTGGTACAACAATCACCCTTCTCCATGATAAGGAGGATATTCGTATGCCAATGGCCACCTGCAAGCTCAAAATAAAAGAACATTTTAAGCAACTAATAAATGACAGATGGCAAACAGTGCCACTATGTCGCATAACTCGGCAAACATGGCCTAACATTACTAGGAAGCGCACCGATGAGCTTTGCAAACTCAGTAGGAGCAGGTGCAGCTTAGTCATACGCTCCCTTACGGGACACTGGCTAATAGGCACACATGCAAGCAGGCTGGGCGCCCCATATAACGACTTCTGTCGAAGCTGTAGAGATGAGGACGAGGAGGAGACTGTGGAACACCTGTTCTGCTCCTGTCCGGCTCTCAGTAGAAAGAGACTGCAATACTTGGGCGCTCCTTTTCTAATTGACATTTCGGACATGTCTACAATCAGTCCCAGACGGATCGCAGGCTTTATAAGGGCATCCGGATGGGATAATGGATAACATATGGTCTTACGAGGGAGAAGGGAACGTATATGCGGTATCACAACGGGCCGAAACCGGCCTAGGTGTGTCGGGTCTCTGACAATCCCGACAGCCGCTTCAACCTAACCTAACCTAACTGCGGACGCACTCTCAATTTAGTTGTAGAGCTGTCAGGTTTTACGACACAATGGTGTGGGATGAAATAACGTGATCTTGCTATTTCTTTTGTCTGCATTTCCTTCATATGACCAAGAGCCTCATATTCTTTCATAAATGTAACGTAGCTTGCCTTGCTCTACGGATCTCGAGCGAGCCGCTTTTCTAGGCAAAAAAGTCGTCGTGTCGCTAGATCACGACTCTGCCCCAGGGATGAAGGGTCTTCCAAAAAGGGCAATCGGACGATGAGTTTATTATCTGATGCCATCTGAACATTTTGTATAAAATGCTGCTCACATCGTTTTTCCAGTGGAGAAAGATATGTTGTGTTATTTGGAAATGAGTCCAGTTCCCAAAATTTTGCGATCTGTTGATCGACCTTTTCTTCTTCCGTCAATACTGCACATGTGCTCAGATTTTTTGAAGCGTCTTTTAGCTTTCCAGCCACAATCCATCCTAATTTGGTTATTTGTAATTTAGGCAATCCTCTTCCAATCGATACATGCTTGTCTTGCATGATATCGAAGTAGTGTTCTGCTCCTAACAGAATGTCTATTTTTCCAACTTTGTCGAAATTGGGATCAGCTAATGTTATGCTTTTCGGAAGCTTCTAACGAGACGTATCAATTGACTGTGCTGGTTGATCTGAGACTATGTGTGGCAGTACAATTGCTTCTAGTCTTGAACTGAATTTGTTATGTCTTGATTTGAGCATAGCATTGACTCTTGCTTTTGATGTTTGTGTTCGTCCGCCAATTCCATTTATTTGTAGATCTGATTTTTCCACTTTCAGATCTAATATTTTCAATGCTCTTTCCGAGATTACATTGACTTGTGAGCCTGAGTCAAGCAATGCTCTGAACTCAGCAATTTGTCCATTGTTG